TGTGCTCAGAAGTAGAGAAGCATGGAAAAAGAAGATCCTGAATGTTCTTAGTGAAACCAGAGAAGGACTCAGAAAAACAGTGCTTCATTCTCACTATATATGGAAAACAATGACTCACTTCACTATATGCATTCTGTTTTGTAGATTTGCATACTGTTATTAAGGAGTTCCTTAAGTGTGTCCTTAGCTAGGCTAAATAATTTCATATATTTTGTTTTTATAAATAAGACTTTGAAAATATTTTGTCTTCTTTAACAAATAAAGCAATCTTGAGCTTTTGTTATTAGATACTGTATAATTACCTACCTATGTGTACCACATCCTGTGTTCAATTTTTTTCAATCACAATTAATAGAGGCTCTTTCTGCCAGCTGTGAATTTAAATTACCAGACATATCATTTATATAAAAAGATTAACAGCCAGCTAAACCAGCATATAAATAAACATGTTTATTTCTGTATTGGACTCAATGCCCAAATTTAGCTATAACCATATAGTGACTAGAGCTCTGGTAGCTTAGTGCCTAAGGCACATGACTGCTAACCAGAAGGCTGGTGGTTCAAATCCACCAGCCACTCCTTGGAAGAAAGATGGGGCAATCTACTTCTGTAGTAATACTGCCTCAGAAACCCAAGGAGGGGTCACTATGAGTCGGGTCCGACTCGATAGCACATAAAAAATATAGTGACTGTCCCAAAAGCAAATGTATAGCCTTAGCAAAACATTCTCTCCCTTTTTTCCCTCATTATTATCATTTTGCCATATGGGCACTGGCATGGATAGCATATGTATTTATACTCCATCATTTCAAACAGCCAACTTGAAGTAGCTTACAAAGTACATGTAATATCAAAGAGATATTTTTAATGACATGGAGGCGACTGTGGTACAATGGTTAAGCAGTCGGTTGCTGACTGAAAGGTCAGCAGTTCAAACACACTAGCTACTAAGCAGGAGAAAGATGTGACAGTCTGCTTCCATAAAGATGTACAGCCTACATCTGCTACCCACTCTGAAAAAGTCTGGCCATTCTTGCTTCTAAGAAGCATTTCAGCTGCACTTCTTCCAGGACAGATCTGTTAGTTCTTTCAGCAGTCCATGGTACTTTCAGCATTCTTCGCCAGCACCACAACTCAAAAGCATCAACTCTTCTTCGGTCTTCCTTACTCATTGTCCAGCTCTCACATGCATATAAGGTGATTTCCTGAATCATTCAATATTTTGCCCATAGAATCTTTCAGTATTGCAACTAGAGGCATATAAGAAAATATCGTGGCTTGTGTCAGGTGCACTTTAGTCCTCAAGGAGACATCCTTGCTCCTCAGCACTTGAAAGAGTTTCTTCACAGCCAACCTGCCCAGTGCTACACGTCGTCTAAGGTCCTGACTGCTGCTTCCATTGGCATCAATTGTAGAACCAAGCAATGTGGATTCTTTGACAACCTCAATCTTTTCTCCATTTATTGTGATGCTTCTTATTGGTCCAGTTGTGAGGAATTTTGTTTTCTTTATACTGAGACATAATCCATACTGCAGACTGTATTATTCAGTCTTCATCAGTAAGCGCCTCAAGTCATCTTCACTTTCAGCAAGCAAAGTTGTATCGTCTGCATACCTCAAGTTGTTAATGATTCTTC